TGTAGAAAATTTTATAAAATTAGATTTTAAAAAGAGTGAATTAATTATTAATCATTATAAGGTAATTTCATTATAAAAACTTGCTATCAAAATTTAATATTATTGAATTAATAAATAAAAAAAAAAAAAAAATGTTATATATTGTAAATTATTCTTGTTATTCTATTTCTAATTAAAGAAAGTTGTTTATTTTCTAGGATTTATTGGATATAAAAAGTATAAGTGTTCAATCAGAAATGCACCAATGCACGTTGTGAAGAACTACTTACATTTATCAAATGGTAAAAGCAGTATTAATTTAGAAGCTTTGACTTCAGTACTTTCCAAAACTATATACCCTAACATGTATAAGCTTATGCAAGTTGCACTTACTCTTCCTATAAGTTCGTCAACGTGTGAACGTAGTTTTTCTGCAATGAGAAGGATTAAAACATGACTGAGGTCATCCATGTTACAGAATAGATTTAATAACTTAGCTATAATTAGTATTGAAAATGATATTTCTAAAAAAATTGATAAAGAAGCCATACTAGATTTATTTGCACAAAAAAATAGATATATTATTTTTAAATAAATATTTTTTAGTTTAATTACAGAGTTTTCATTGTTAAAATTCAATTATATGTAAGGGTATCTTAAGTTATATACATAATATACTATATCTATCTAAAATAAATCACGCTTAAGTTTTGAATGATGTTTAGGGTAATATTATATACAGGGCTCGGGACTTAAAGCATTTGCTTATTTTTTTAGATTGACTTAAAATGTAGCAGAGTACTATAGAAGTGTATGTCATGTTACAACACATTCAATTATGAAATTTGAGAGTGCTTTTTTTGCTTTTTTCAGTGATTTTTCAAAAAAATGCTTATTTCAAGTTTTTATGATAATTATTGCTTTTTTGACCAGTTTTCATACTTTTTTATGGTTTTCTACTGCAAAGTTGTTTTTGATAGAATTAAAATTAAAAATAATTTAAATAAAAAAATTTATTAAATTTATTAAAAAATTATTTTTTTTTCAACTATTTGTAAATATTGTTTACATTTTATTTTTCAGAAAATCCCTTAGAAAATCCATAAAATCCTCAGTCCTGAAAATTAAGTTTAATTTTTTTTATAATATAAAGATAAATTTTTATTTTTATTTTATTGTTTTTTTTTTTAATAAATATTTTTGCTTAAATTTAAGTTTTTTAAATGCTTATTTGAGTGCTTATATTGATGTTTTTAAGTGCTTATTTAAGCGCTTATTTTAATGATTTTAAGTGCTTTAAGTCCCGAGCCCTGATTATATATATATATATATTATTGCTTTGATATGCAAAAAAGTATTTTTAAATATCAGCCCCCTCAAAAATTATGGAGAATTTCCGCCTATGCTCAGACTTAATCTCAGTCTCTTCATCCTTAGCAACCTGGATAGCTAATTCTAAAGTGGGTGGTTTTTGAGATTTCACGATGGTCTTTAAGCTAGGTATTAACCCTTTAATAAAAACTACCAATGTCTGTTCCTTTAACTGATCGCGGATTGTATTTGCCTGTTCGGTAGTTTTACCTTTTGTATTTGCTACACATAGATTGAAATATAATTGTTCTACACGTCACGCATATGCACCTACGTCTTCGTTACTTCGCATGCGGCCGGAATTTAATGCCACTTATATTGACGATTTTAATATTTTTCAATTGCTATTGTAACAATATATCAGGAGCCTTGTATTACATTTTTACACTTTTTGGCCCTACAGATAAAACTTTATTGATATTTATAGACAAAAAACCAAAAAAAATTTAAAACTGAAAATGTCCGTAAACAGCTCAAAAAGATTCAAAATTGTAAGTTGTATAGGAAATGCTAATATAAATATTCAGTGAAATTTTCATGTATCTATAGTTATTCGTTTTTGAATTACAACAAAATAAAGAAATCGGTACACGAGAAATCGAGCAGTTGAGTTACAAACGCTCATAAAAATTTAATTTGACTTTCTTAAAAATATTTTTATTTTTTTTGATGAAGGTAGATAATCTTATAAGGAATCTTGTATTACATTTTAAAATCTTAGATTTAAAAAGAAAAATTTTTACGAATTCTTAACTCAAAATAATTTGCTAATTTTCGTGATTTTTTCATATTTTGTCAATTTTTGGACTTTAAATGCTTATAAAAAAAACTGTGACTAAGGATTTTTAATATTTTTCATCTTATTTTTTGCAATATACTAGAAGCCCTCTATTAAATTTTCGAGTTTTTTTAACTAACCAATAAAATTTTATTGATATTTATACAATAAAAAACTAAAAAAACTGGAAACTGAAAATGTCCCTAAACAGCTCAAAATAAGTCAAAATAAAGACATGGTGTATAGAAAATACTAATATAAACAGTCAGTAAAAATGTCATGTATCTACGGTCATTTGTTTTAGAGTTACACCAAAAACCAAAATCGATTTTCTCGAAAACAGATTTTGAGTAAAAATTCCCGTTTTCCCTTAATTTTGGTTTTGTTTTTGACGTCGCTTTTGGAAACTACTGGGAAATTTTTACTTTTTAAAAAGTATCAACTAGATTCACTTTACTATTAGAACAGATACTATGGAAGAAAATCCAAGCACTTTTACTGTCCTAAAATGTGATGACAGACATAAAAAAAAACAAAAAAAACAAACATCATTGTAAAATCAATACATTCATCGTTCCACTCAGGGCCGGTGTAAGGGCGGTGCAACCAGTGCACCTGCACAGGGCCCCGCGCAAATGTGGGGCCCCGCGGAAGCCGGCTCACTCCAGAAAAACTAATCATTACTGACTAAATATTATAAATTTTATAAATTTACAATTTAAAATAATTATGGGCATTTTCGTGGTATCGACTTTCGATAATCGATTGCATACTACGGCCAACAAGAGTCCATATGACCATATGTGAACCAAGCATCGATATAGTAATACGCGACGTCTCGTCTGTTCTCTCCCACCATGGTGCCATTCCCACTATTCGGCATATCGCATAGAGTAATAATATATAGAGAAGCTATACCACAGATTATAATATAAAAGCAGATGGTGCACTCCCTATTCAGCCCATAAAATTCTCAAAAATATGAAGAAACAAAACCTACCTCAAATCAGTGTCACCACGAATAATGCTAACTGTACCTATCACATCGGCTTCTGCTGAAAGATCATTTTCGAAATTAAAATTAATTAAGAACTATCTAAATTCTAAGGAGCACCATGTCACAAACAAGACTCACTGGACTTTCAACAATATCCATTGAAAAAGAAATAGGTAGCTGAAACTATCAACTACGATACGATTATAAATGATTTTGCAAGTGAAAAGGCAAGAAAAAATCCTTCTAAAATAAAATATATAATAAATAATACATAATATCAACATAATATTATACACATTTATTTTGTTTATTTGAACTAAAAAATAAAGAATATGTATTAAATATTAATTGTTGTGTATTATTTTATTTAAACTATTTTGCACGGGGCCCCGCAATTTGTAGCGCCGGCCCTGGTTCCACTCAAAATCTAAAATTTGAACGGATAAACAAAGTTTCAGTCAATGTGTACAGTAATGATGAAGAAGGTTTGATGTATCCAATACATGTTACCAATATTGAAAAATCTAATCACTTTGATTTATTTATTTTTTGTAAAAACGATATTCAGCATTATTGCTATGTTAATAATTTTTCTAGACTTGTAAGAAGTCAGAAAACAAAACACTGTAGCAAATTAATTATTTGTAAACGATGTTTTACATCATTTAGAAAAAAACCAAATAAAAAAAAAGATTGCGGTGTAGCTGAATTGGAAAAACATAAAAAGTTATGTGGTAAACACTAGTTTTGTAAACCAGTTATGTTCGATGAAAAAGACGATGATTTTATTCGGTTTAAAAATTATCATGGCGAACGTATACCGATTGTAATTTACGCTGATTTTGAATGTATAAACCAAATAGACCAATAGAAAATAAAAATAACTGTAATAAAAATGAAAAAAAAAATGTAAAATTGATAAAACACATAGACATAAACCTATGAGTTATGGATTTTATGTTAAAGTTGATTTTACCATCATCCCGAAAAAATTAATAAAACAATTCAAAATCCCTACAAATCCAGTAGTATATAAATTTAAAAACTCAGCAAGCCATTTTATGATATCAATAATGAAAGTTTCTTTAAAAATTAATAATTTGTATAAAACAAATATTCCCATGTCGAAATTAACGAGTGATGAAGAAGATTTGTACCGTAGTTCAAAAAATTGTAAAATGTGTAATAAATATTTTAATAATTATGATGTATATAAAGTTAGGGATCATAACCATTTAATTTAGACAAGTATTATGTTTTGACTGTAATTTTATGGTTCAGTCTCCCTCATTTATACCTGTTTTTTTTCATAACCTAGTCTACGATAGTCATTTTTTGGTTCACCATCTTGGTTGTGATGATGGTGAAATAAGAGTCATTCCTAATTCAAGTGAAAAATATATTTCATTTAGTTATACTACATTTACTAATAGTACCTACTGTAAAATAAAAAGAGTACCTACCTAAGTATTAGAAATCATAAAGTTACTATTCTATTATATTTTATTCTATTATCTCCCTTGATAATAATATTTGCATGTGGTTTTTCTTTTTCGAGCGTGATGACTTTGGACAATACAACATACAACTTTTTGCCTCCAGCCACCATTATGTTATTATGTTAAATATATTACTATTTTGCTAAGTGTGCAATTTATGAAATATGTAATATATTTATATTATAAATATGCAATATTTATAATAAGGGTTAAGGATAGTTAATAAGTATAAGTTAGTAACATTGAATGCAAAACACATTAAACTTTTTTTGTTTGTATAATGTAATATTCACTTAATTAATATGCTACTTGTACTGTAAAGCACGAATAGACTAAAATAACACATGTATAAATAAAATTGAACCTTTTTTTTTTATTAATATGAACTTTTATTATTATGAGGATATATAGAGTATACATATTGAGCCATACATCTTTCTTTATATGTCGTATAAAAAAGGTCATCTGGTGTCCACCAATTGTTCTGAAAAAACAAGCAATTTTTTTTTTAAATAATTAAAAAGATAAAAGTATGAAAATAGTTTTTTAATGAAAGTCAATTAAAATTCCTTATGACTACTGGTATGTTTATTAGGAGATTAGTATTTAGTGATGACTGATGATTATAATGATACATTTAAAGTGAATATTGGATATTTTGGAAATTATACAAAAAATCATAATAGAATTATTTATTATATATTATTGGTTGTGCGAACTGGCATTATAGTAAGTTGCACTCATATTTTTAGTTGTTGGGGTAGGATGGCTGTAATCTATTTTTTTCTGTATTATCTATTTATTGCTGTGCATTTTTTCTATATAGTTTATTTGAGTTATTTGCACCTTGTACATACCATACATCCATACCCAACTAACACAGGGCGTGCATAATAAAACTTACAGTTTATATAATAATGTTAATAATACAATTATTTATATAAGTTGTTAAGATTTTATTATATAATATTATATTAAGTTATTTAATTTATTCATTAATGTATATCATCTTACCAAAGGGAAATGTTAACTTACTCCAGCACATCGGTGAGGTGACAAATTTTGTTTTTTTTTTATTTCCGAAAAAATTGGTTTAAAGACAAACATTTCCCACAAGCTAAATTATAAATTGGTGTAGAATTTGGACTTGTATCATACAAACTAGTCATTTGAAAATACTTCAAACCTTAGATTCGTCAACTTGCCCTGGTTCCTCCTAATAATAATAGTTCAACCTATATCCCACTAAGAAATTTCAATAGTATTATAATAAACATTTTCATTTAATACTTATAATTTAAATCAATTATTGGTTGTACAACTTAATTTCAGGAAATAACAATTTAGTGTACATCACAGTGTACCTTACAGTTTATCATTACTATTAATAATTGTGTTATTTTTTAAAATAGAGTCCAAAAACATGGCTCCAAAAATTATCCAGTGCAGATTTCAAAAAATTAAGTGAAAAAAAAAAGAAACAAGAATCACTATCAAAAAAAATGAATACCTGGCTATCTAAATCTAAAGTAAGTCTACCATTTGACCCAGATAATCATATTTCTTTATCTATCTCTTCTAAGCCAGTAAAACTAGATCTTTTTGAGCAGTTTTATCTCAACAGAGTGAATTTAAAAAAGTTATTTTTGTAGGTTATGATCAAATTCTTACAGAGTTAAAGAATTGATTTAAAAATATGTTTGAAATTAATGACTATTTTGGATTTTTTTATGGTAGTAGCTTGATGGACCATTCTATGGACTATATGCAAACATGTGCAGCTAACTTTTCTCTGAAATAAAATATTTTAAGTCTCAAGCATTTTTTCTCTTACCTGACTTTAGAGGCCTAACAACTTTAGCCTTACTTCAGTTAATTACAACATATTCTTTACGTGCTGAGTATCCAAATGTGGAGATAGCTTTAAGCATATTTTTGACTTTGCCAATAACTATGGCGACGTGTGAAAGATTACTTAGTAAGTTAAAGCTCATAAAAAAACTATTTGAGGTTCGATAGAATAGCACATGATCGAATATCTGATATGGCTGTTTTATCCATTGAACATACTTTGATAAATACTTTAGATATAAACAAACTTATTAGACTTTGCTAGGAAAAAAACTATAAAAATTGCAATTTAAATGTTACTTATAAGTATAAGTAATATTATTATGTTATACCTATGTACTTATAATTATTATTTATAATTATTATGTATATTTATATTTTAATAAGTTATTCATTTAAACAAAATTAACAAACGCTTATATAATTGTAAGGAAAAATCATTATTTATGTGTTTATAAAATATACTTAGTTAGGTATTTTTTTTATAAATTAAAATACTTAAGGACGCATTTTGAAGTTTCGCCCCAGGTGCATTAATTGGTTGCTTCGGCCCTGTCAATATATGTCATAGTTTTTTGCTGTTACTAAACAATTTGATAAATGGGACTTATGAGGTTTAGCAACGTAGCCAACAATATGGCATAATAACTAAGATTAATACAATATTAAAGAACTAAAATATTATATGAATTTAAATTACTTGCCTCTATGACACCATGTGTGGCCAATTCTATAAGAATTTGTTCTCGCATGCTTGTATTTGCCAGTTTCCTAGACACAAATTTTATTGTAGTTCCAGCCAAAGATACCGGACACAAATACTACAAACAAATAAATTATAAAAAATGTAAATTAATTATTGTTATATTTTTGGGTCCCACGCAAACATGTTCATTGAGACCAATTATTAATTAAAAATAATTATATATATACACAGTTCTTATAAGATATTGAAAATCATTCATTATAATTTATAAGTAGGGCAGTGAAGTTATTGCATTATAAAACTCAGTAAATTGATTGAATCATTGCACTAAAATATATTAAAAAATGTACTTATAAATTTAAAAATTGCATTGAAAAAAATTAAATATAATCAATAAAATCAATAAAATCAAATATATCAATACAAAATAATAAAAATTAAATATGATTCATATTTTTTTTTTAAATGGCCGATTTAATCGGTTTAACTTTTGGCATTGTAACGGACGAAATAGATGCGACAAAGTATAATGAACGACTACTATAGTACAGGCCACCAAAACGTGAGGATGATTCTAGCGCACCCATAGTACTGTAATATACCTCTATTAACTATTATATCTATATTACTAGTTATGATACGATGTCGGTATTTTTAAATATAACTAAATGCTGTATATTTTATTGGGGGACAAGTTTTTATCTTAATGACCTGAATGCGATCATCGCTCTATACAAATATAATAGCTACATAACCGCTCTATAGAAATATTAATAAAATAATAAGTATTCCAAAAAATATAGAAATTTGTTCACTACTACGTTTCCTTACTTTTATTTTATATAATCTTAAATGTAAACGAAAATTATAAAAAATAGTTGAAATTGTAGTAAAATTAAAAAATTAAAAAATTGCATTTATTGCAATATAATTTTTTTTTGTTTAAATTAAGAGTTTAACGAAACATATTTTAAACTCACTCAGCAATAAATATAAGCATTTACAAAAAACATGCAAATGCAACAAATTCACTGCCCTAATTATAAGCAGTAAACTTTTAGAACAGCATATATAATTACTAGAACTGTTCTATTGATGTACTAAAGAGCCTAAAAATGCTTTTAAAATCCCAAATAGGTTTATGTTATCTGGCAATGTCATATAATGGACAATGCTGTAATAAACACCTAATTAGAATTTTCCCCACAAAATATTTACTTTGAAAATGACAGTCAAACACTTACAATTAAAAATTAAAAAATGTTAAGAATAGGTATGTGAAAAACTATAATATTGTATATGTTAATGAGATACAAATATACAATTAAGTCTATAACTCAATAAAATAGATGTAGTTTGAGTAGATCTCACCACTTAAATATATTTTGATTTTATGAAATAATTTGAACACACAACATAATCTAAATAAAAACACAATAACAAATAATAGGATAGGTATTCATAACATTTATTTGATTAGAATTCTTGGGTAATTTGAAAATTCAGTCTTTTTAACTCATCATAAATATATAAATACAAAATATTTTTAAATACCTTCCATACTTAATTGCAGTCAATGTTTTTGTTTAAAACAAACCAATTTCATTTAATTATTTGTAAAATAATATTGTCTCACATCTTAAGTTTTTAATAAATAGAATAATTTTGTGTGTTATCCATAAACAAATTTTATTAGAATCATTTAATAATATTCTGGTATTAATATTAAAAAAATTGTTTGCAAACCACGGTCATTAATAAGAAATTTTAAGTCGTTATTCATATATTTTAATCTAAAGATAATTATCTAAATAATATATAAACATGTAATTTTCGAAATTAAATTTGGCATTAAATATAATTTACTGCTAAATTAATATATTAATTAATAAGACTTTTAATAAATTGAAAAATGAAATAATAATTTGTTTAATTTTAAATGATTATACATACTTCTGCAACTACGCCATGAGCTCTAAATGGTACAGGTGGGAGATGTGATTGAGCAGTTGGTAATGAACTATTACCCTGATTTATAAATGAAACATTTCTTTTAATAAATTGAAAAATGAAATAATAATTTGTTTAATTTTAAATGATTATACATACTTCTGCAACTACGCCATGAGGTCTAAATGGTATAGGTGGGAGATGTGATTTAGCAGATGGTAATGAACTATTCTCCTATTTATAAGTGAGACATTTCTTTTAATAAATTCAAAAATAAAATAATAATTTGTTTAATTTTAAATGATTATACATACTTCTGCAACTACGCCATGAGGTCTAAATGGTATAGGTGGGAGATGTGATTTAGCAGATGGTAATGAACTATTCCCCTATTTATAAGTGAGACATTTCTTTTAATAAATTCAAAAATAAAATAATAATTTGTTTAATTTTAAATGATTATACATACTTCTGCAACTACGCCATGAGGTCTAAATGGTACAGGTGGGAAATGTGATTGAGCAGTTGGTAATGAACTATTCCCCTGATTTATAAATGAGACATTTCTCTTAATAAATTGAAAAATAAAATAATATGTTTAATTTTAAATGATTTTACTTACTTCTCCAACTACACCATGAGCTCTAAATGGTACAGGTGGGAGATGTGATTGAGCAGTTGGTAATGAACTATTCCCCTGATTTATAAATGAGACATTTCTTTTAATAAATTGAAAAATAAAATAATAATTTGTTTAATTTTAAATGATTTTACTTACTTCTCCAACTACACCGTGAGCTCTAAATGGTACAGGTGGGAGATGTGATGGAAATATTTTATTAACATTATTTCTTAGAGTTGAATCTTTGCGGTACCATGGGTTTGGCTTTTTAAATGCATTCTTCTAAAAATATATGTTTAATTGCAAGTAAATTAAATATCAGAAAGATAACATAACAATAATTATTTAATTAAAAATTGTAATAAACATCAAAACTAACCTTATAGTTATTGTTATTATTAGGAACAGATACGAATGAACTATTTCCCTGGTATTGATTTTTAATTTTATGATTAAAAACGTTATTTCTTTGCGTTGAATCTGTACGGTACCATGGGTTTGGCTTTCTAAATTCATTCTTCTAAAAACATACGTTTAATTGTAAGTAAATTAAATATCAGAAAGACAACATAACAATAATCATTTAATGAAATACGATAATTAACATAAAAGCTAACCTTATAGTTATTGTTTCTGAACATATGAGGTATATGCGAGTTACTTTTAGAATTAGGGGATTTAAATTTTTTATACAGATTCTACCTTTGAATTTCAGCACTAGATAAATTAGCCTAAAAAAAAATAATTTTTATTTATGAATAATTTTATTGATGAATGTCATCATTTATTGTGCATCAAAATGTGTGTTTTATTATTTAGTCATTACAACACTATCTCATTTTTGTTATGGTAACATATAATTATAATATAATTCATAATATGATACTTTCAAATTACGGATCTTTTTAGAGCATACTCAAAAAATTTATGAAGAAGTATATATCCTGCACATTGGTCAGGTAGTTAATATTTTTATTTTTTATCTTGATAAGCATATTTGAATTTAACTTAACATTTCTTCTTGACTTGTTTTAACAAAGATATATTTTCAATCTGGATGCAACTTTTTTTTCATAATCTGCATTAAAATTAATTAACATTTATTTAAGATTCAAACAAATCAAAGAACATATAAATGATTAAGAAATTATTGAGAACATTTGCTGCAAAACAAGCAAGAAAAAATGCATATAGTTATGTAAAGATATTCTGTTATTTATTTAATTAATTAAATTGATTTTTTTTTACTTTTAACCATTTATAACTTCTAAAAAATCAAAAAAACCACCTGACTAAAGAAATATACTTTTTTATAAATCGTTTTAGTATGCTCTAAACAATATTGGTAATCGATAAAGTACTGAATTCTTATTGCTATATCCCATGTGGGATCGAAAGAGAAAACAAATGTTGGTGTTGTGGTGACTAAATAATAAAACATTTAAATCATAAATTAAATTAATTTTCTTTAGGATAATTTATCTAGTGCTAAAGTAGAAGGTGGAAACCGTATTAACATTTTAAATACTCTTATTCTAAAAGTAACGCACCTATACCTCATCTGTTCAGAATGCATAACCATAAGGTTAGTTTCTTTGTTAATTATCATTTCTTATTAAATAATAATTGCTATGTTTACGTTCTGATATTTTATTGCGAACAGTTAACTTAAAAATTGTATAAACATTTTATAAAAATTTTAATTAATTACATGAAAACAATATAATTATGTACATATATAATATATAGACTAGGGACTTCATTATATCATGTACTTATTTCAAATTACATATTATTTAATTTTAATCACTAAATTTATATACATATAACTTACATTAATATTGTCATCTTTTGATGGAGAAATTTTAAAGGAAAAATTTTCCAATACATCATCACAAAATTCACTAGTATTACTAATTGGTTTTTCCTGTAAATAAAAATTATACGATATTTATTTAAAGTGAATAAAAAATTTATGGGACTTTTCACATTTTTTAAAAATAATACAATGCATACAAATATTGTTTTATGAATTATAAGATTTCTTTAAGCAAGATTCCCTCGATTACAAGTTACTTATAACTAAGAACAACTTTACCAGTTGAAAAAGCTTCAGAAGAATGGTGTTTAAAAACTTATTTTAGATTCTGAGTGGAACGATGAATGTATTGATTTTACAATGATGTGTTTTTTTTTTTTATTTTTTTTTTGTGTGTATACACGATAAGTAGTCGAAATAATGCTTTGATTTTCAATTTCAGTATCTTGTTCGATTGGAAAGTAAATAGGGTCGGTGCATTGGGGAGGTCAAAATTTAAAATTCCCAGTAATTTTCAAAAACGCCAAGAAAAACAAAAGAAAAATTAAGGAAAAATGGGAATTTTTACTCAAAATTGAATTTGGTTTTTGGTGTAACTTTAAAACAAATGACCGTAGATACAAGAAATTTTCACTGATTGTTTATATTTGCAATTTCTATACACGATAACATTTTCAAAATATTTTGATTTATTTAGAACTGTTGAGGGACATTTTCAGTTTAGAATTTTATTAGTTTTTTTTTATGAATATTTATAAAAATTTATTTATTGAGTAAAAATACTTGAAAATTTAATACAAGACTCCTACCATATTGTTACATTGACATTTGAAAAATATTAAAAATCCTTTGTCACACTTTTTTTTATAAGCATTTAAAGTTCAAAATAATTTAAAGTTAAAATTAGCAAACTATTTTGAGTTAAGAATTCGTAAAAATTTTTCTTTTTATATCTAAGATTTTAAAATGCAATACAAGTTTTCTTATAAGATTATCTACCGTTATATAAAAAAAAATGTATATAAGAAAGTCAAATTAAATTTTTAAGTACTTGAAATTCAAATTTTTACAACATTGGATATTCACAAGATTTCTCATGTAGCGATTTGCTTATTTTGTTGTGATTCAAAAACGAATAACTGTAGACCCATGAAAATTTCACTGACTATTTATTTTATCAATTCTTATAGTTAATAAAATCTTCAAAGTATTTTGACTTGTTTTGAGCTGTTTACGGACAATTTCATATTTAAATTTTTTTATTTATTTTTTTCTATGAATATCAATAAAATTTTATCTGTTGGGCCAAAAAGTATAAAAATGTATCCTAAGGCTCCTGATATATTGTTACAATAGCAGTTGAAAAATATTAAAAATACACGGGCACAATTTTTTTTATAAGCATTTACAGATCAAATTTTGACAAAATTTATCAAGTTTAAAATTGATAAATTATTTTGTAGTTGAAAATTTTATAAAATGTTAACTTTCATATCTAAGGATTGAAAATTTAAAACAAGATTCCACGTGAGTAGTTTATTCATAGGTACTTAAAACTTCTAAAGTGTACTATTATATATCTAGGATAGTATCATGATTTGTTGTTGATGTATAACGCATTATAAGTACCTAATAAATATTGTGATATGATTAATTTGTAATTTAATATTGGTACCTATTATAGGTCAATTTTTTTTAACACCATAGATAAGTATATAATATGTCTTACCTATACCTAGACTGCCTAGACTTTATGCAAGTGTAATAGTTTTGAAAATTATTAAGGATCTATTTCAACTGGTTAAGCTATATTTATTTAAGTTGATATGACAGTATTAACTTTTAATACATGTAGTAATGTTCTTCTACAAATTACATCACATGTACAAATATATAATTAGATTTATCTTTTAAATTAAATGTTGACAAAATGTAGGTATTTAATGAATAATGACCATGTAACTAAATTATTTTGGCAGTATACAAAAAAACAAATCTAATAAAGTAATTGTTGTATAGCCATCAATTGTATAAATAATATGATAAAAGCTATTTTCAGTAATCGTCACAATACTTATTATTATTATAATATTTATGAAATCTATATGAATGATCTACATTTTTAGAGATGTATTTCCAAAAAAATACAACAAATCTTTGGCACAGGAGACATTGGGCGGGAACAGCTAGTTATAAAGGGTGGTTTTTTAACATAAAACCCTCATTATATTAAAAAGTATTTACTTTTTTCAAAATGTTTGATCCATGTTATATTAGAATTGTATACAATTATATTTTTTACACCCTTTTACTTATAATTTTCAAATTTCAACATAAACTAAAAATCTAATGAAACTTCAATATGTTTTAATAAATTATTACCTGAGTATTATCAACGTTAAAAGAGAAGGTTTCCAATACGTCTGTGTTGAAGTCATCTAATAGTATAAACATAATTATTAAAAATCATGAAAATAAATCAGTCGCAAAATTCAAACATGATAATGTTTATACCACACATTCAAATAGTTAAATGTAAAACCAGCATATTTTGATATCTGGAGAATTTTTTTTTTTATTACCAAGTTAATGGTAAGGTATTACATTTGTATGGTTATTAATAATTGTTATTTTAAGCTTTTCCAAAGTTTATACATTCAACAAGAACCAATAAGGTACTTAAAAATGAAAAAAAATTGTTATTCATTTTGTAAATAAAAGCTATCAAAATATAAAAATAGTTGATAATTACCATTAACAATTTCAGTCTTTATTGGCTCTAGTTTGATAATTTGTTCACCCTAAAAGAATTGATTATTTACATAACAAGCATAGGAAACAGTAAATCATAATATTATGCATTTATTTAATTAATTTTTTAATTTCAAATTATTTTTTTTAAGACAAATAACTTACAGGGGGCAGTGTTTTATAAAAAACATTCCAGTTACATTCATTTGGATTGTGCTCATACACACCATAGTTTTCATGGTCTTCTAGGAGTTGAAACACGGCTGAATCTTTACTAAAATTATTTTAAATTTTAAAACTTTAAATTTATACAAAAATATATATAAAAATAATTAAAAAAAAAAGATGTTACCCAACAAATTCTACATCACTTTGATTGTTTGGAGTGTTGTTGTTAACTACCTCCTGAATAATCATTAAAAAAATATCAAATATTTATACATTTCATAAAATTTATTTGACTTTAAATTTATACTACATAATCTAATGATAAATAATATCTAACAACAAAAAATAATAAAGCATAGTAACAAATCATATATTATATAAAAATAAATAAATAAATTTATAATGTAAATATAACTGATTTATTAATCATGATATCTACGGGAGCTAGACGTAAGAATGGATGGGTAATGGGTATATTATAAGGATTCTACAATTTGTATAAAAGCTAATTTGATAAATGTCTTCAATTTTTAAGTATGTGTATAAATAGTAACTGTAAAAAAGTCAAAATTTATAAATTAAGAGGATTGTGCCACATGTGTTGTCTTCATTTTACACACTTTTGACATGGCAAATTTTCATTCAACAGTTTTAATAGTGTGCTGTCAGTTTAGATATTAGAGTGAATTGACCAATTATGAAATTTTTAGGTTAGAACATTATTCGTGTTCTCTTGTTGATTTATTACAATATTTTATTTTTGAATGAATTATGAGCATTTTAAAATATTAATATATTTTTGTAAGTTAACGCTTATGAAATATTATCAAGTAGGTGCAGAATAAAAAGATTGCGAATTTCAATCTTTAAGAGGATGTCAGGGCACGTTTTTTCTCTCTGGCCCACACGCAACATAGACAATACGCATTTAAGCAGAATCATTTTTTCTATGGTTATAAGTAAATCTGAAATCACCCATTACAAAAAAGATAGAGAATGATATTTTTGAGAGAATGACATATTGATTTGTCTAAATATTTTCTCAAAACAATTTAAACATAATTTAAACTTACAACAATTTTTTTTTGTTTATTTTGAAAGTGGAATACAAAGTCAAATAACAATAAAATATAAAATCAATATCATTCCCTCAAAAATATTACTCTCCATCTTTTTTGTAATGGGTAATTTTACTCAAAGATTACTTAAAAACATAGAAAAAATGATTCTAAATGCGTTTTGTCTATGTTGCGCGTGGGCCAGAGAGAGAAAATAAATAGTGCGCTGACTCCTCTTAAGGATAACGGGCTAAAAAATGTTTATATAATATATAGGTATGGTAGTATTGGTTAACATGCTAATAAAAATACTAATATATTTCATACAATTATTCGATAGTTTTAATGTGAATAAACTATATACATGGTCAAAGATTCTTACCTCGATTCTTACCAAATCGGCACCATCAGATTCGGCACCATCAAGTGTTTCAAGGAATTTGTCGATTCTAGGTCATAATAAAAAAAAAAAAATGTTAAAAAACACATTATAAAATTTTTTTAAATATATAACTGACAAGAAGAACAAGTTGACTACACAGGAATTTAAAATGAGTGATATATCTACTTTGTTGGCTTATTACATCGTAAAAATAAATTAATATTTGAATGTAAGATAATTTATTACATATTTATATTATAAAAATTTGTATGATTGAGGGGTTAAATATTCATACATCATTATCCAATTACACAAACCGCTGTGTTGATGTAGATATTGTACTTAGTGATTATGTCATAAAACTTAATAATTAAGTATCAAATAAGTATTATTAAATATGTCACTAGTACAATAGTACAACCATTAACACAGATGTACGGCATAATCCATTATATGAATATTAATAAATCTTACAGAAAAAACATCAACATTAGAATAAAACAAATTTATTACAAGATGTTTATTTACATACATGACGTGTTTGACTGAAAGTATTTTATAAATAGTCTATATCTTAACCTTAGACATGTTCTTAAGGTATTTACTGGGGTATTTACCCAGCAAAATGGAAACTACTCATGACATAAATTGAATAAAAATAACATATTTTGTAGATAGACAACATATCTTGAAATCAACACTACATTTAGTACACTTGTATACAGACATTTTTTTTAACTTAAAATACTGAAAAACTTACTTATTAGTGGCTTTAAAAATTATAAATATTTTTGCTCTATCTGTAGTATTAGCAGTAGCAGCATTATTAGCTATGAATATAGAAAATCAGCCAGCAAGAGAAAATTTTATCATTTACAAATTGTTTTTACATTCTATTAGTACTGCATGAACATTTATGTTTAATTTCATGCTACAGTTACTATAGTGTAGTACGTTTCACATCAAATTTGACTCGATCATAGTGTGCTGGGAGGCAGTTTTTCGTCAGGGTTACTAATAATACCACGTAAATAAGGAGGAAAATTTAAAAAAGCACAAGTTTCTTATTTATCAGCCTAATTTATGAAATACTGATTTGAATGAAATCGAATACCTAGTGTGCTATGATCGAGTCAAATTTGATGTTAAACGTACTTTAATGTACCTATAAAACTTCAATATACTTCTAATGTCTAACATTTTTTTTTTTATTTTCAACGCAGTTAATCTGTGTTAAAAATCATATTAAAACCTAAGATCAGGCCTTGATTTACGCATGGCCAAGAAGTGCACAAGCACTGGACACCCAAATTCCTAGGCCCTCCTTTTCATTTTCCACTTCGGTGCAAACAAAAAAACCATAGCAAGCTACTCCATATTTTTCCACTAAAAAAAAAAAAAACTGAATCATAAATATTTTTTTATTTATAAGTAACCATGACAACAAAAACGTTTATTTTGCAAAATCGGTTCCCAAAAACATATTCAATATGTAAAAAAATAAAATATATGCTAATTTGGGAAGTCTGTTGAGGAATTCAGTGATTATTTTTATAGTAGCATGAGCTTGGATATTTGTTTTGTTTATTTATACGGTTGCAATTAATTACATACCCCTACTGTTTCTAAAGTGGCACTAAATTTGAGAAAATTGCAATTTTAGGATTTTTCCCTTTATTTATTTTGCTTTATAAGGGCCAAAAATACCTTTTCTAACTATACATTAAATACCTATATAGGGATACTTCAAACTTTTTAGTTCTTCAATTTTTAAAACACATAATATTAAAGACCAATGTTCTAAGATAAGAAATATTAATCTATGTTTCAAATTACAAAAATCCATATTAAGAGGAAGAGGAGATATGAGGATTGGAAGAACCCACTGAAGTTGTATGCTATTCCACATATTTTATATAAAGGTAACTGTGAACAAGCCTGAATGGATAAACGGAATCGATGGTTGGAAATATTTATCACAAAGCATTCAATGTCATGAGATTATTCAACTCAACATTTAGAATCAACAAATATGCGGATCGTATGGGAGATAAATAAAACAATTGACAAAGCATTAAAAATACAATATAGGACAGAGGCTTCATCATGAATAAATATTTGGTACATTTGATTAAGATCATATTGTCATTAACAAAAAATATTGCATTAAGAGATCATAAAGAAAAAATAAGATGATTAGAAAATTTTTTTGAGAAGGAATTTTCTTACATCCTGTTAATTTATTGGCAGAATTCGATCCAGTTACAAATAATCAAGTGAGCAATCTTCGACACAAAATCAAATACTTATATCCATTTAGAGGTTAGAGAATGCTACATTAGCATGTGTTGTTGTCTCCATATTACAAGTGCGGAACATAGCAAATGTACGCTCAGCAGATCATGTTTAGCTCCGTTAGTTTAAATACTAGAGTGAATCGCCCTATTATGAAACTTGATGGTAAGATTAATAAAGTGTTTACTATATTTCACAAAAGATACGTTTTTATTCTTTACAATCTTATTTCAAAGAAATTATATTTGCATTGTTTTTATCTTATATAAAATATAAAATAAAATAAAACGTTTTATAAAAAATAATAATTTACCTGTATAATTGCTATATCAAAGTTACTCCACTCACCATTTTAGGTTATAACTAATAAAATAAAACTCTTGGAAAAAAACGAGGGGTATCTTTGATTTAGTTGGCTGAATACCATTACATCAAATAGAAAAAAAACCCTATATCAATGTTATCCCACTTACAGTATAACATTGATAGTGAATTAGGAAAATTCATATTAAATTAATTAATGTACTTTAAATCAAAAAACTAGCATTTACTTCAAGATACATATGTAATTGAGCCTCAAACACTGTTTAGACGACAAATTTATAATAGTTAGTTTAAAAACTATACTAAAAACGAGCAACAAAAAGTTGAAAAAATTATGTTATTGGAAGTATTGACGATAAAGATATTATCAATATAGATGAATTTAGTCGCACAACTTTACCTGATATCATTGATAGTAGTGAATATGAGGAATATTATGGTGTTTTTAAAAATAACATGACAAAGTTCAAAACTCTTGATAATTTAAAAAAACATTTAATGCTGGTAATAAATTATTATAAGGATATAAATATAAAGTATAAAATACATGCAAATCTCCAGGATTTAATAAAATTAATGAAGTTAAGCGTGTAAAAAATATTTTTCTGAAATCTAAATCTAATACTATTATAGCATTAAATGTTGGTTTAGAAATTGATTAACCAGAAGAAAAAAATCAGTCGTACCTACCGTTAGTGTGTGGTTAAAGGGAAATTATTACTCTAGTAAATATGAAGAATTAGTAGAGCATATGATTTTAACACAATCTATGACTGTTGCTCTTTCTTCAAACAACAATTATGAAAATTAAATAATGATTAAGTTTTGTCCAAGGTAACTTGTTTTTATGGAACTTCATCAAGCGTATTTAAAACTGTATCTCATGGTCATATAAAAAAGAGATGGATTATTACAAACTATTACCATCATCTGAACAAGCATTTTTTAAATAATGATTTAAAACCTAAAAAAGTAAAAGGAAAACTTGTTTCCAATACTTCTTTAACCAATAAGTATTCAGTATTATTTTTCATTAGTTCAATGTCCAAACAACAATTTAAAAACTAAAACAACATCTACTTTAACCCAAGAAAACAAGCAAGTATTTTCTATGTCAAATACTCCGGAAACAATAACAGGTTCTTGGAAAAATCCAAAATATTGTCAATCAAATAGGGATAAACGTCATTATGAAGAAAATTAACTTTCAGATGATAAAAAGCAATTATTTATAACTGTCTTTTATGAAATTGTGGATGGTGTAAAAGCAGTCATGGTAAAAAGTAATATTCTAAAAGATTCACTTGAAAATTTAAAAAATAAAATATACCACAATAGAATCAAACAGATGCTGAACAATTATTAGAAAATACTATGCCTAGTACATTTGTAAATGCACTAATAAAATCCTCAATGAACAACTCAAGTTCAACAAGTAAAAATAGTAATTGTTAGAAAAAATCTATTAGACAGTTTTCAGTATTTTTGTATTTTGTGGATGGTAGACTTTTATGCGAAACATTACAAGCAAATTTAGAAAATACTTTACAATCAATAACAACTTTATACCGGTTTATATCAACTAAAAAATGTAATGTTGTCGAAGGGGAATACAGATTCGACACTTTAAAAATGTTCTTGGAGGAAATAAATTTACCTATGGGTTAATGAAGATGGGACTCGTATAAGTAGCAAAATTGAATATGATAAGTTAGGCAATAAAATAGTTGGTTTTGTGTTGCCATTCAAAGATGGAAGAGCAGTTGTTGATACATTTTTGGTCACATCAGCTAAAATAATTGCACAATATTTTGAAAACCACATAAATGCTGATTATGCTTACTTTGTAATGGCTAAACCTTTGGTATACAAAGCTCCTTCTTTTTGTAGATTCAAATATAGTGATGTTCTTGCTAGATGGAACTTAATGACAGAAATGGCTAAGAATCAACTCAAGAATCAGTTAATACTAGTATTTACTGATATTTATAATAAATGTAAAAAAGTACTGGTTTAAGATTACCTAGGTACAATTTAATATTTTTAAAACTAAAATCAAAAAAAAAATTCTTGTTTCTAAGAATTGAAAATATGTTGGTTAAGTTTAAAATCTCCATAGTGGGTATTCTGATCTAGAAAATATCTAGGAAAATACTGTATATACTAAACTTAAAAGAGAAAAATCGCTATTTGTACATTGTGGATGATGCAATATCCATGTGATAACGCTTACACCGGGTTGTTGGTGTGTGATATACTCGGGGATATACTGCACACACACAAATTGGTCAGCCGACTAATTATTCTCTTTTGAGAAGGAGTATAGTGAATACTGAGTACTTAGTAATCATATAAGAAGTATACACAGTAACTATTCAAAGCACTATTATGTTGATTTTAAATAATTATGTGTCCAACCCGTATTTCAACAACAGAAAAACGTTAATTTAGTTTATCAAACGCATATAAATATTTAATGTATAGACCAATGGTCAGCAATGTTTCATGGAAATAATGTTATTAAACTAACACCAGAAAATATTGAAAACATTTGTTAAAGATACCTATACCTTGAACCTACTTACGAATAAATATGGTTTTAGTTTAATAGGTAAATTATGAACATCGTAAACTTGTGAGGTGTAAAAATAATAACCTCAATAATAAAAACGAAACCTCGGCACTCACTCGTTTATTATATCGAAACTACAGCCGCCTAGGCCGTTCAAATCGTAGTCGTGTACGTCGTCGAGGCTGGATGCCGAGAACGAACGCGGAGACGGCATGACGACGAAACTCGCGAGTCGTATCCGTTTCAAAGTTGTCGTTAAGGTCTACAATTCACAAAACCAAGTACTAGACGGCGCAATTGACAAAGGCGTACATGTGGAGTACTAAATAAAAATAATATGCTGGTTAAAGTAGCAACTTGGCGATCGCAGCGCAACCTGTGGCCGTTTGTGTGATCGCCGATCTGGCGACAGTGCGACACATTTCGTGACGTTCTTTTGAGTGGGCGGCAATATGAATTTGTTCTCGTCTGTGACATCTATAGTCTTCATGATGCTATGAATCATGAATCGTGTCGTCTGACTATAAGTTATAACTACAGCCGTAGCACGTACGAAGACTATAAGAAATTTAATCGTCCTCATAATAATTTTGGTCATGTTATTACATTTTTTGGAAAATATATACACTATTTTTAACTATAACCCATTATACATTTTAAAGCTTAAATTAGGCATTACCTTCAAAGTTCATACATGTGCCTACATATATATTTCTTAAACTATTTATTATTATGTAATTAATTAAATTAGGTAATAGGTTTAGAATTCGTACCTACTCGGATCATTGTAGGTACCTATCTAGATATCTTATCGTCTACAGTCTTAGTCTGACACTAATAATTGTTATAATATAGTACGATGTGTCTTATTGAACAATTATTTTGCACCGATACCTCTACCATGGTCGTCTCCAGACATTTTTCTAACGGTGAGGGGGGAGCAACAGAGGCGTACCCAGGATTTTTTTATGGGGGGGGGTCCAACATTTTTATTTTATCTGTTCTCTAATTATAATTATAGTTTAATTCATTACCAACATATTACTGTTAATAACTATAATATAGTTACAATAGTCAATAGTTATACACACACTCACAGCACATATACAACAAGGTTTATAACAATAGGTAGGTACTATAATTTTAAATCAATTTTTATTTGGTAATAAAATGTTATAAAAATTATATTATTTAACTTATAATTATTTTAAAATTTTAATCTCCTGTTTTTTTTACAAGTTCCTCAATTATATCATCTGGTGTTAAGATTTCATTTCGATGAATATTAAGCATTGCAAGTCCATTAAGTCTGTCTTCCGATACAGTATTTCTGAGATATGTTTTAAGATTTCTTAATGAAGAGAAACTTCTCTCAGAAGTACATGTCGTGACTGGTAATATACATACTATTTTTATTAACTTGTATATATTTGGGAACAAGTCTTCATCACAAAATTGTAGAAATTGTATTACAGTTTTTGGCTTTTGATCTTCTTCAGTTCTTTTTAAGACATTTTTCCACATCTTAATTTCTGCTATTACAATATCAGGTTCACTTAAATTATCCGAATCTTTATAAAAATCTATCAATTGTAAAATGTCGTTATTATTATTGTCCAATTCATTTTTAAATAACATTTTAAAACCTTTTAAAACCAATTTGTGTTCAATAAAACGACTATTTATTTGATCTAAAAAGTAATCCAAAAATGAATTAAACACGGTTTATACATTATAATATAATATTATAATCTATAACCTTTGTATACTGAAGATAATGGGAAATATTAAAATACACTGTAAACCTACTCTTATTATACGATTTACTATTAAACAATTGTGTCAATGTAGATATCTCAATGGGGGGTGGGGGGGTCCGGACCCGACCCCCCCACTCCGTGTACGCCCCTGGGGAGCAAAATTAATTTAAAAAAGGTAAGCAAGTGGGTGTCACTCTGCTGTAAAGTGGGTTACAAGTGGGTCACTGCAATGGATGGTGTTAAATTTGAATTTAATGATATATGATACCATTGTATAATAGCGTTTTCCACATGACGGCACTATTGAACTGGTAGTTGGTACCATTTTTTGTTTCATATTATGGAATATCAGTGCACAATATCATTGCGGTCAGAATGCATGTTTCAGATGCTCCTTAAATTGACTGCACTGAGCAATATTATGGGTGTTATCGTTTGCACGCTGTAAGTGCATACTAACCGTACTAATGCAGTCATATGGAAAACACTATAAGAAAAACGATTCTGAGCGAAGACGGTCAGTCAGCCTATTTATGCAAGCCCTAATTATGGGGGGCACGGTCCCGAGGTCCATTGATTTTTGTGACCCATCATTATCCCCAAAATATATTTTTTTAAAGCGTCCAATACAGTTTTCAAAAAAAAAAAAATTATTTAAGTAGGTAGGTATAATAGTTAATTATTATTAATAATTATAAAATAAAATTGTTCACAATTTTATATCACGAAAAAGTACTATAAATAATGAACTATGTTTGCCAACAATTTTTTTTTTTTTTTTTTTTGAGCATTTTAGATTACTGATTTAAATATTTAAGTAAGTATACAAAAAGGTAGTTTTTTTATAAGAAAAAAATATTTAGCTTTTGTAAATTAGGTATTTCAGTTAGAAGTATTAATGCATATTTTATCCTCCAATTGACCCTTAATCCGGGCTTGTATCTATGCTATTACCTACTAAGTATATTTAATGATATTATTGTGAATGAAGTAATGTATATTTAACCTATTACGTAGAACCTAATACGTCACAGTTTTTTGTTATGAGCATTTAAAGTTAAAATATTGACAAAATACTTAAAAATTACGAAAATTTGCAAATTATTTTGAGTTAGAAATTCATAAAAAAATTTCTTTTTAAATCTAAAATATTAAAATGTAATACAAGATTCCTCATAAGTTTGTCTACCTTAATCAAAAAAAAATGTCTAGATACAAGAAACTCAAATTAAATTTTTATGAGCGTTTGAAATTCATATTTTTACAACATTTGATATTCACTCGATTTCTCATATAACTATTTTCTAATTTTGTTGTAATTAAAAAACGAATGACTGTAGATACTTGAAAATTTCACTGAATGTTAAATTAGCATTTCCTATACACCATATAATTTTGAAAATATTTTGACTCTTTTTGAGCTGTTTACGGACATTTTCAGTTTTAAATTTTTTTAGTTTTTTTTTCTATAAATATCAATAAAATTTTATTTGTTCTGTAGAAAAGCGTGAAAATGAATGCAAAGCTCCTGATCTATTGTTACAATAACACTTAAAAAATATTAAAAATACATAGGCACAATTTTTTTTATAACCATTCAAAGTTCAAATTTTGACAAAATTTATCACATTTAAAATTGAATAATAATTTTGTAGTTAAAAATTTATAAAATGTTCAACTTTTATAGCTAATGATTGAAAATTTAAAACAAGATTCTAAGTAAATATTTTGTATAGGTACAAATTAATTTATTCACCTTAGTATCATCAAATATACCTACTTCGTAATATCATAGGCTGACTAACCGTTTTCGCTCAGAATTATTTTTCTTATACAATGATATTCTTCTTCTTCTTCTTCAGCTTTTACTGTCCTTGAAGGACTTTCGCTGCCTCTACTACTTTTTTCCAACTATCTCTGTCAATACTGTCTTCTAAAGTTAATCCCTGGGCGCACTTGCTTATATCTTATTTAACCCTGTCTATCCAGCGCTGTCTAGGGCGACCCTTAGGTCTTTTTCATTGATTTTTCCTTCCAGAGATTTCTTTAGGATACCATTTGACCTCCATACATGGTATGCCCACTCAATTCGTTTACGCATAAGGTACGCGTTGATACCGGGTTTTTGATAAATTTGTTGTACTTCCACATTAGTTCTTCTTCTGTACACTTCATTTTCTAGAATAGGTCCAGTGCCGTGGCTGAATCCGAATTGCATGCCAAAAAAAAAAATGTCCAAGTTGCATGCCGTCTCTTGGAGGGGTCTGTCCGAATTGCATGCCGTCTCTTGAAGGGGTCTGTCCGAATTGCATGCCATCTCTTGGAGGAGTCTGTCCGAATTGCATGCCATCTCTTAGAGGGCTTTGTCCGGATTGCATGCCGTACACCACACGTTTATTTACTATGCACTTAAACAACTTAAACTTTTTTTTGGACTTACCTAATTTTTTTTAAAAAAATGCATGTATAGAAACGCTCTTTTGTGTATGGTGGTTACAACTGTTTAGTGATTAGTTTCTGGATTGAAATATTTTTATATCCGTGTAAATATTTTCCCAAACGGTATCTATATTGGAGTAATATAGTGTATTGTGGTCTTGGTCTGTTTCACAGACATAGACATACGTATCGGTCACTTAAGTGTTTGTAGCTGTCAAATGTATAAGCGTTTATGTTCAATATTGATCTGAAATAATATTAAGATAAGAAAGGTATAGAGCTACGCCACTACGACAGTAGTATGATTTGGGGGGTTCAGACCGCACTCCCTCCACTCCCTCCACTCCCTCCACTCCCTCCACTCACTGTCGTTCACGTGTGCGACGTTGTTATCAGTAAGTGTAACCTTATCAGTGATACCGCAACCGTAACCTTACCAGTAACCACTCCTCATCAGTGATAACGATTATCCGTAACGTGCGCGGTGTAACATAATTGTTATGAAGGTGTAGATTTATTCAAATAGCAGAAAATCACGAAATAAACGTATATTGTTATAAATCAAAAATATATATTGTATATCACTATTTGATGTATGGTGTAGGTTTTTTTGAAACGTTCAAATTCACTAAATAAACGTATATTATTGAATATGAGAAATATCTACAACATGTTTTGCCGTAGTTTTAAAATTGTTTATAATTGAGTTTATTTCTTGCACAAAATTATGTACACATTATGCTTATAATCAATGTACCATAATAATAATAGCGTGCGTTGTTAACGTTGAGTGTGAAATTAAAATATATGACGCATATCTTTATTTTAGTATGTTGTAGATTTATTAAAATAGCCGAAAATCACTAAATAAACGTATATTGTTAAATATCAAAAATATATACTGTATATCACTATTTGATGTATGGTGTAGGTTATTTTGAAACGTTCAAATTCACTAAATAAACCTATATTATTGAATATGAGAAATATCTACTGCACATGAATGTGAAACGGACACTTATAGGCTCCGCAAGAGTCGGCATTCAGTCAGTCTGTCTTCAAGTGTACACACGTACGATTCTCCTCCGCTTTTATCAGTCTTTATTATATTTGTCAAGTGTTTAAAATTTTTCCAAGTCTTTATTATTTTTATAATAAACAATTTTTAAAAACATGGCTGGTTCAATCGAAGACAACGCTGCATTATACAAGAAAAAGACCTTTACGTATGTACCACCATCACCACCGGCTGAACTCATCGAAACCACAAGCTACACGATCAACTTTGCAGCTCGCAAATTTATACTTGTCGGTATCGATCCTACTGATAATTTTCAAGTCACCGTTCATTTATTAACACCATCGCGCCATGTTAAAATATCGCCGGATTTCCTGAGACGTATATTCTCTATGATGGGGCATATCTTATCATTTATATTAGATACGGTCCAGAAGTACAAGCGTATCATATTTCTTGAGACTGAATTTCATAAAATATCCAGTATGGTGTATTGTGGAGAAAACGTGCTAGTAATAGAGTCAAAAACTCAGGACGGGTGCAGAGTACTGTTAAATCGGGAGGACTTTATGCAGCTTCAATATCTTGAATGTAGTATTTTCGAAAGTATTGTACGGAAAGAAGTAACCACTGCTCCAGTAATTAAAAGACAGTTTGACGATTTTGCGATGTATCTACATGAGAAATCTGCTTGCCTTAAATCACCACCGAAAAATTTAGAAGATATGTTAATATTCGTTAAAAAAATACAAGACGATAGAACGGAGAAAATTTACCCAAACATGATCGGTCAAATACAAATGTATGCAAGTATGCAACCGTACAACTAGCTGAAACTGTGTTACAACAGTTGACACATGAGGTAATTCATAAATACAGTAGTACATATTGTAAAAAAAATATTTAATACAATTTTTTTATTTTAGTTACAGAATGGTGAAATGGATACACCAACGTCGTCAAGCTATTCGCCGGTCATCAATATATTAAGCATGCACGACGATTCATCTGCACGTGATGGATTTAATCAGCCTAAGGATGATATTTTAGCTAAGGTAATTTATATAAACATAGTTTTAAAAATAAAAACACAATATTTATTTTATATTTATTTTTTCCAGGCACTAGATCATATTGACGGATCTGCCGAGGTTCGCAACCCGCAGGCGTGCGACGTAAACGATGGGCCTGATTTTTTCTACCAATTCAGGACGACATCACCACCACAGCCTTACCCAACTTACACCGATCATCCAGTGCCATCACACAAACGATCTCATTCAACCTTCGCCGACCATCCGACGCCAGTACGTGATGTTAAGCGACGTCTATTTTAATATTTGTATGAAAATAACTAATTTATGTGAAAATAAAACAAGCATGATACTTAAAAAAAGTTTTTTTTATTTATTAAAATAATAGTAAGGTTTACAATAAGTATTTACAAGGTTCTTACTTCTCCATTAAATGGATTATAAGTTATAATTTGGTCATGTAATATTAAGCAATATGCGGATGTTGAAGCTGGGAACGCTTCGTCTGCTTCTAGTTCAATCCTGAGGTCGACGGTTGATGTTTTCACGTTATCGTTCTGTCTGCTCATATCAACAACTATAATTGGAGACAGATTTTTGAAATCCACTCGATTCAACAGGGGTTTCTCATGTCCGTAGTAAGATTTCTGGAACTTGGCATACGCGCGATATAATGTCGCCATCTTATTCTTGGTAAAGTCACTTTGAAAATCTTCATAGGGAAATACTTCTGCGTTTAAATAGACCTTTAGTTTTTTTATTTTACAATGGTCGAAGTACGACATTGCTTTAGTCGGACTATTTTTCCTAGCGGTTTGAAAACCGATTATTGCATACCTAGGTTTTTCTAATTTGTTGGATGACTTTACTTTCCACGAATGCGAAGTGTTTTGAGGTAAAAATGGATATTCACACAGTTCCCACGATCTAAACGCACATGTAAGTGGTTTCTGATTATTGATTACTTTCAACAGTCTAATTTTTTCTCTGTCACTAACTCTCACTATAGGCATCCGCCACAATATTTTTGTTATGTTTATTTTAACGTCTTTTAGTTTAGGAGCGTTTGCGACAACTTCATTATTTTTAAACTGCTTGATGGCATTCATATCAATCGATGCTCTATTTAATATAAGTTGCTGATTACAGTTTATTAAAATTCGCTTATAATCTTCACAAAAACCAAACAAATCTTTAAGATTAATACATCCGTTAAAATGGTCGTTATCGATAAAATCTTTATTAGCAGATTTAATTTCGCTATCCCAAGCAGCATTATGATGCGATGAAATATTTGTTTTATTATACGAGCAATATCCTTTTAATGTGGTCGATATACCCGGATTGACGAGTTTCTGAATTTGAGTACCGTTTATTTCGTATTTCATTTCAGAGAAAAGAAATGCCAGTCCGTTGTTTATGAATCTAATCTCGTCAGTTATTTCCACAGGTTTGATTATTGTCCCCTCGATGTAAATATAACTCTCACATGGTAAAGTATAAGACCTCGTCGTTATTAGAAAGAGCAGATGTTGAATACGGTAAAAAAGAATGATAGTCAATTTGAGTTATTTTACAATCGTCGGTGTATCCAGCCGTTACATCTAAATACAAATAGTCCATATTAAATAGCGTTCAGCGAGCGTAGAAAAGCCAAATTATCTGCTGTTAGACTATGATCAACTTGTTTACGTTTCGAATATTTCTTCTTCGGAGTTGTTACCTTTATAGTGTTTTTAATACGACTGACAGGTTTTACATATGCAGTCCTATTTATATTACAAAATTGCAGACCCATTGTTTATCACAAGTCTTGAATTAATAATCGTATCGATACTGGCTCGCTTCGTAGATCGATCAACTCGTTGTCTTGATTTTTTAAAATTATACTCGCGTGCGTTATAGATGTAGAATTAATTGGGTAAAATACCAAATGTGTTGGGACCTCTATTATTTTATAACCTGGAGGTACATTCGGGTAAAACTCGTGTATTGTATGACACTGCTTACCGTTAACGAATGAACCCATAACCAGATTTGAGTCGATATATATACAGTTTGTTTTAGTAATATTGACCAACGCATCTGATTCGTGATTGACATTTGCATCATACTTACGATTTTTAAACCCCAATAACTGTCCTATACTATCAGACATGGAAAAATCTACAGTTTCGCTACAAAACATTGAGCATTTTAATGTAATATTATCTGCTCGCAATACGAATAAAGTATCTGAATTAGGTAATACACCGCGTATTATTGCCGCTTCGATTTCCTTCAACTCATAAGATCCAGTGGGTATTATATAGCTTCCGCTTGTACGCTTACCAGCGATATTACTTGTGATTCCTATTTTGTTGCATTTGTCGTTTACATTAGGTATAGAATTATTTGTTTGAAAACCCAGCAGACAGATTTTAGCATTGTGACTGACTTCTATAGGTGGAAAAAAGTCACATGACAATTCACTCGAGTTGCCGGTTAACGTTATAGTGTACATGATAAAAATTGTAAGCACAAGTGGCCACAGTTTGTTGTATTATATTTTTGATGTCTATCGTAATTATATTCGATACTGCACCCGTTGAAATATTTCTGTAATTCTAGCGGAGGGGGTAAGTTTCCGTAGCTGTCAAAATATTTAACTTGTTTTCCGATTTTCTTATACGCTACCCAATGAGTACCTGTGCCGATTTCAGTGTCTAAACTAACTACAGCCGACTCTTGATTTTTTAAACGTTGCGACAATTTGTCTCTAGAAAATACACCAATGAAATGAGGTATTTTCAACATGGCAGCGTATTTTATAACCTCATAATCGAACAACGCTCTATCGGGTAACGTAACAATTAGTTTTTTGACCTAGACTTCTTAACTGATCAGCCCTTGTATGGTGCTAGGTATAAACCTTTACCTTTTACGATTTTATAAGAACTACCCTTGTGAGGTGCTATATATAAGCCTTTGCCTAAATGAATAGGAGTGTTTTTACCAGAATTTAATTCTTTCACGACTTTTACTATATTACCGACACCTCCGGTAAGTGCACCTAATGCAGATAAACCAGCAAAAATAGGTATTAATGGTAAGACACCGCCCTTTTTCGGTATTGGTATAATTCTTGGAGTTTTAGTCTTCTTGTTTTTAGATTTTTTAGATTTTTTTGCAGCTGACAGACATGTTTTTACTAATTTAGTGATATTTTTTTCGTTCATTTTATTTTTGATCGAATTTTTAGCAGCCAAAACCATTTGTTTAAATCCGCAACCCGCTCCCATCTTACGTTTGACCTTCATGGCTGTAGTGACCAACCAAGACGCCGCTTTTTCCTTGATACCTGTGTTTTTTGATTTAAACACTTCCCAAGCCTGATTTTCTAATACTTCGTCCGCTCTGTGTCTATCGGTTAGTGAATTACCTACTTTCTTCGTATGCGATATCGTGGGCTCTGGCCAACTCGTCAAGACGGTTTATCCCGCGTTCTCCACGCGCTAGTCTTTCTTTTAATTTGGTTCCAGGACCGGCAAATCTATAAAAAATATATTTATAATGTAGACAGGATTTAATAACAATAATATTATGTAGTGACTTACCTATAGCCAGGTAAATGCAATTCCACGGGTAAATGATTTATAACAGAGTTAATAAGACCGGATCCTTTATTGTTGTTTCGCTTACGAACGCGAGACATCGTGTGACGCTTTCGATAACATTGCATTTGTATTTATAGCGAAAAAATTTTAAAAAATGCGCCTTATTGAACAAGAGAAAAAACTTCGGATTTATAACATTGATACCCCCGAGACAATTCAGCTGAGACACGGTGAACTTTTCCCAAATACGATAAGGTCGTTGGTACTTGGGAGCTCTGGATGTAGTAAAACCAATCTGATGTATTTTCTACTCGTCGATGAAAACGGTTTGCGATTTGAAAACGTTTACATATACTCTAAGACCTTAGAACAACCGAAATATAAATTACTGAAACGTATTATTGACGGTATTGATGGTATCAACATTTTTACCTTTTTCGAGAATGATAAAGTAATTCCACCCGAGAAAGTTTTACCGAACTCAATTTTTATCTTGGACGATGTTATCGGAGAACAACAAAATGTAATAAGAGATTATGTTTCTCGAGGTCGCCACAATAAAATTGATATATTTTATCTGGCTCAGAGTTATTCAAAAGTACCTAAGCAGCTGATACGTGATAATGCAAATTTAATAGTATTGTTCAAACAAGATGAAACTAATTTAAAACATATATATCAAGAGCACTGTTCAGGGGACATGACATATATACAATTTAAAAATTTTTGTATGACATGTTGGAACCGTGAGATGTTTACATTTATTGTTATTTGTAAAGATTGTGGGCGTGATGATGGACGTTATCGTTTTGGGTTTGATACTTATGTGGTTATATAAGGCGATACAATTAATAAATATTATCATTTAAAACACAGACATGACTGAGGCAACTACTGTTCTAGATGAGCTTGTCAAAGCTAAGGAAAGTATTAAACGCAATTATATCGCATTGAAAACCGGTTCGGACAATGTTCAACAACTAATGACACAGACATTGAAACCAATAATCAATCCATTAATTAAAATATCAAATAAACCTGAGCTGACATCAAACAAAGAAAATATTAACGTCGGGTTGAAAAACTCATTTGCGGACAACTATCAACAGGAAATTGAAAATTGGCTACAGTCTACAGACTTGGATAAAATATACGGTCCGAAAAAACTTCCAAATGGTCATATTATATTGGGCGATAAAGAGGTAAAATTCATCGAAAACACTATACTTATTGACGGTACTGTTTATAACTTAACCTCAGGTATTGTTCAGTTATTATTTTTGAAAAATCCGCTTGTTTATACAGATAACGATTTAGATGTGTATAAATCTATGTTGGTACAAACATCAGCACATATATCTATTGGAAGAAAAATAATAAAAAAGGGTGGCTTTAAATATACATCAATCATCAATAAATTATTTCCCTCGGGCAGTGGACTGTCTATGAAATTGCAGAAAAATAACTTAGTGTATTGGGACAATCCAAACGAGTTGGTCGATCGATTACGTCTACTTCTAGCGTCAAAGGCAGCTGGAAATACAGGCGTAACAAACGAAATAATATCGATTTTCGAGGAATTACGTGAGGCCGGACTAATAAAACGGGTTCCAGATGTCTAAACGGGAAATAGCTTACGAACTTCACAAGCCAGCAAGGAAAAATTTCACTAGGCGTAGAGTTAACGTCTATGGGAAAAATGATTTATGGCAAGCCGACTTGGTTGAAATGATTCCTTATTCAAAAATAAATGGCGGTTACAAATATTTTCTGGTTGTGATTGATTGTTATACAAAGTTTTCTTGGTCTATACCATTAAGAAATAAATCTGGGAAGGAAGTTTCTAGCGCGATGGCTACAATATTACGTGATCGTTCACCAAAACTTTTACAAGTCGATAATGGTAAAGAATTTTATAACACCATCTTCGACGCTTTGATGACCAAGTATGGCATACATAAATATTCAATCGTAGCTATCGTAGAGGTCCAATGCATTCTTGGAGCAAAAAATAAATATTTTATTAAAGAAATGTCTATAGTCGACACAGCAACGTGGGCAACTCAACACTGGATTTTTAAAAATTCAAAAACTATGCAAGACAACAAGAGTCGAAAAACTAACAAGTGGCTGGAACATAACTATCATAAACTAACTATAGAGTATGGTGATGTTGAATATGAAGAATTAAGTAGAATATTGAACTCATTAAAATTCACCTGCATTTATGTCAAAGGCGAACAGAAAAAACAGATGCTCGCAGAATTTATACCTCAAGTCGCACTTTTTTTTTTTTTCTTGCATATGGCGTAGGTTTATTGGTGAAAAACAAAATTAAATAAACATAAAATAAAACTAAATAAACATTAAATTATCAAAGTAACGAGGACTAGAGTAGGTAGATTTACAATAAACTAATAAATAATTTTAACAATAACAAAGATAATAATAATAAGAGCTCATAATATATTTTAATTGGTCTTAGACAGCCAATCCATTGCTTCGTCATCGCCCATGTGAAGTCCCTCTATTCCTCCTTTGTATCTAGTTTGAGGACATTCCTCCACAATGTGTTTGATGGATTGTATTTGCCCGCAGTCGCATAAGGGAGAGTTTTTTAACTTCCATTTATGTAGGAGGTAGTTACAATTACCCTGCTCCGTTCGTATCCTGTTTAGATTAGTCCATAAGGCTCTCGGGTAGTCAAATCCTGGGACTCTTTGGTTTGGGTCGCTTATCAGATGTCTATTTTTTGCATTACCTTTTTCCCATTGTTGTTTCCACATATCCTCCATGCTATCAAAACTATTTTCTTTTGACCAGATTGGGTTTCTTGATCTTAATCTTTTAGATGGTGCGCAATTTATGTCGGTATATACAGGGAGATTCACTAATTTATTGATTTTCTGTAACAGTTTGACAGTTGAGAGATGCCTTCGGATCTCCGGGGGAGCTACGTTCGAAAGGACTGGAAGCCACTGTAGGTTGGTAGCCCGGACACAGCCTGTGATGATTCGCATAGTATTATTCAACTGGGTGTCAACCTTTTTTGTATGTACACTTCTCTCCCAAACGGGGGCGCAGTATTCCGCGACACTGTATACCAAGGCTAGGGCCGATATGCGTAGTACATTTGCTCGGCAGCCCCAGCTTGTTCCGGCAAGTTTACTAATAATATTATTCCTTGTTTTAAGTTTATTTTTTACATCTTCGAGGTGTTGGTTGTAGGTTAACGTTCTGTCCAGTTTGATCCCAAGATATTTTGAAGCATCGTCATTCATTAGTTTGGTTCCCTGAACTGTCAAGTTGAGTTTTCTGTTAGCATCTCTGTTGCTCAAGTGGAACGCTATGGATGTGGTTTTATTGGGGTTAAGAGTGAGGAACCAGGATTTGAAGTATTTCTGTACTTTTACTAGGTCTTCGTTTAAGATATCCTCAACCTTCTCAAATGATTCAGCTTAAGCTGCTAACCCCACGTCATCCGCGTATATGAATTTGCGTGACGAGGTATTTGTGATATCCGCTGTGTAGGCATTAAACAGAATGGGGGAGAGTACTGAGCCCTGAGGAAGACCATTTTGGAGGAATTTGTATTTGCTTACCTTTCCATTTAGGTGCACTCTAAATTTTCTGTCTGACAATATATTGTCAATTAGTCGCAATGATGTTTTACATCTTAGAATTTTGGCTAACTTCAAAAGTAAACCACGTTTCCACACCGTATCGTAGGCGCAAGACAGGTCTAGGAAAACAGTTCCCGTTTTTAGTTTCTTTTGAAACCAGTTTTCTATAAACGTCGTCAGTGATAGTACTTGTTCACTGCAGCTTCTTCCCTGTCTGAATCCCGCCTGTTCTACTGGCAGGTGTTCTTCGATTTTCGTTTGGATTCTTACTAGGAGTACTCTTTCAAATAACTTGTAGACAACGGATAACAGTGAGATCGGTCTGTAGCTTTTTGGGTCATCATCAGGCTTACCAGGTTTTAATATTGCAACTACTTTAGCTTCCCGCCATTGTTTTGGTAAAGTATTGTTATTTTTTACTGTTGAAAAAAATCTTGCTAGCCAAAATTTCCCTTTAATGCCCATGTGTTTGAGGAATTCCGGAAGTATACCATCTTCGCCTGCAGCTTTACCGTTTTTTAGAAGTCTTAGGGCAGCCTCCACTTCCTCCACTCCAAAGTCCTTCATGTTTTCGGATTTCTCTGCGCATAATTGAAACTCTTCCTTGTAATCGGCTTTCACCTTCATCTTATCGGGTTTTTTGGGTTTTATATTAGCGGTCTTATGAAGAATGGTTGAGATGGAGTTTGGTGAGACTTTGCTAGCTTTCCATGAGGTTTGAGCTGCCCCCAGTTTCCTTAGTAGAGACCAGCTTTCCCTACTCGAGGGGGTGAAATCCATCTCATTCATAGTCTGTGTCCATCTGTTCCTTCGCTCCTCGTCAAGTATGGCGATGAGTTTGTCGGCACTTATTTCATTTCCATGCCTTTCGTATTCTTTTAGTAATTCTTCGCATTCTTTAGTCCAGCAGGGGGTATAGTTATATCTATGGCCTCTAGGTATCGATTTCTTCGCAGCTGTCTTCATTAGTTTGATGAATCTGCCATAGTTGTCCGCAGGGTTGGGCATATCATAGTTACATGTAACTAAGTTATGTAACTCGGTTACTTTTGTAACTTGTAACTTGTAACAAGTTACACATTTTTAATTTAACTTGTAACTTGTAACTAGTTACACACTTTCCTGTAACTTTATATGAAAGTTACAAGCTACAATTAAAAGTTACATTGTAAATAATATGGTACATTAGTATTAATTAAATTTTTTTTTTTAGTTTCTATTATATTTAAGAATTTTAAATTTAATACAAACAGTCAACACTAGTCACTCTGTGTGGAGGCACAGAATAATACGAGCGTATAGAGTCCGTATTATTATCTGTGTGTCTAAACTCTAAAGACGACGTTTTGTTGATAAGCTGATGATGATCATATGTGATATATAATTGGTATTAGTGTTGGGATTCCCGGGCTATTTTTTTTTAAACGCCGACTAACGGCCTAACGACTAAACGACGAGTATTGTCATTCGATTCACCACAGTCCACAGAAAAGACACTGAACCATACGATCTTACGAGACACGAGTTACATACGACTGCTACGAGTTAATTTTGTTTATGATTGTGCTGCCGACTGTTATTTTTTTTTACTAATATGGATCATCGACCAGCCGTGTTGAATGGCACATATTTTGAAGTCGTTGTTGAAAAAAATGAAAACGTTTTAGCTAGATGTATGTTGTGTAAAGTAGATAAACGTGAAGAAAAACATATAAGTGGGTCATACAAACATACTTCAAATTTCCGAACGCATGTAAAAGTAAGTACCTATTTATTTAGTATATATTTTATACTTATTTATTTAATATTACTATTGACTGGGTATTATATAAAATAAAAACAATTATTAATTTACATATTATAATATTATATTACACCTCGTATTACATATCCCACTATTACATACCTACTCTCAATAATCACTTTTAAATAATTAAACAATTTTCATCAAAAATTTAAAGTAGACACAAATTTTTTAAATTAAAAAATTAAACCTTTGTTCGCGGAATTGAACTCACATCTGTTAGTCACTAATAAGTGTTAGTTACCACTAGACTACAACAATGGATTTTCAAATCATGTAATTATTGAGGTATTTAACGTATATACGATGTACAGTAATAATTGTAAGTCGTCATAACTTAGATAGTATGATTAATACATTAAATTATTTTATTATAACTGTAATCTGTGAAAAATATTTTACACAAGTTAATATTAATCATTAACTATTGTCTATTACAGTATTGTTATAAAAATATTTAAAATGTGTTAATTATAATAAATGAATAAATACAAACATATTTTATTTATCAATGTAACTTTTAACTTTAAATGTAACTTAGTTACATAACTGTAACTTGTATCCAGTTACATTGCACCAAAGTATATAGTATCTTGTAACTAGTTACACAGTTTTAGAGTAACTTGTAACCAGTTACAATATATTAAGTAACTTGCCCAACCCTGGTAACACATACCATAGAACATAAAATGAAACCGGCTGATGTAAGTAAGAAAAACGAGAAAGACTTACTTTCTACTGTTTATAATTATGATATTAGTAATTCTGTACCTAAATTTGAAATAAATGATAGTTAGATTATCTTCAATAAATGATGGGTATCGAATAAATTAAAACGAATTGGTTTAAAGAAATATTTATAATTGAAGAAGTTTTTAAATCAAATGTAAATTATTATAAAATGTATGATATCAATGGTACTGTTTATGAACAAGAAATTGCGTTATCACTATTATAACCTCACATTATTGTTATCATAACAGCAACAAGTTTCAACTATGGTTATCTCTTTGATAGTGCCACAAGTAATATTTTATTTTTTTTTTGTAATTTTTATATTTTTATATTTTTTTGTGTATTTTTTTTTTAATTTATCAATTTAATTTTATTCAATCAATTATTTCACTTATAAATGAACAAACTATATTGCTTTAAGTGTAAACAAAAAACAGATAATGTTAATCCACTTATAATAAAAACTAATCACATTAGGAAAAGATTGTCTGCAAAATGTAAGCTATGTAAAAAATTAAAGTCAGGATTTATTAAGTGAGTAAATTTAGTATTTAAATATTTCATAATATTGTTGAATCAGATAATGTAAGTTATAATATTCTTTTTTTATTTTTAATCTATTTAATAGTAAGTCTTTTACAGAATCTACGCCTTCAATTTTGAATTTTGTAATAATAATATTTACTATATCTTGAAGTTTAATTAATTTGCTTTCTTCTCCCCAGATATATATTGCCTATTGCAAATGAGATTGAATTAAAGCCGAGTATACTGATTTCTTAAAATTTTCTTCTTTTAAAATATAAAATATTGATAATTTTCTTTTGTTATTTATTTTATTAACTATTTCATTAACTTGGGTGTCAAATGTTAATTTTTGATCAATTATGCATCCTAAATATTTATATTCGTACACCTTTTCTAATTTAGGACAACAACATTTATTAAAATTTGTACAACAAAAGTCATGAATAGTTAATTCATTATATGAATTCGCTTCAGAAAAATCAATGTATTGTGTTTTAGAAATATTTAGAGATAATTTATTTTCAACAAGCCAATTTCTGATTTTAATTAAATCTTCATTAGCTTTTTGATATAATTCAGCATGGTTATCAGCTTCAACAACCAATGCTGTATCATCTGCAAAT